ATGTCGCCACCCTTACTTTCACTTTTATCGAGAGAAGAGAAGACCCATCGGCCGACTGGCTTCCCGAAGGCTTTCACCAACTGGCGTCATTTCGTCTCTCCGATTCCAGCGGGGAATAAGTTTATTTTTATTTTTAATATTTTCATTGTGCTTTGAAGTTTCTTTAGTTATTGATTTGGTTTTACGGGTAGGGTTGTTAGCCGTATGCCCAATCTTCCCTCTTTACACAGGCTTAGGACCGGCTAGTAACTAGTGAACTAGTTAAACAGGTGAGGTTGGGTTATATTTGGGCCATTTAAACACATTAGACTGCTATGACACCTTCGAGTTGTAGCAGCTGGAAATTACTATCATTACTTGCTGAGGAAACAAATTAAGATACCAGACAAATCTCCTAAAGTGGATCACTGGTCAAAAGTAAGTCGTCGTAGTAAATGATTTCTGCAGCACTGAAGATAATCAGACACAATATGGATTTCGAGAATCCCGTCCATGAAGTGTTAGTCTCCACTCTACATTTCTCACACCAACGTTCAAAGAATTCAAAGACTGTTAACACATCTTTGTCTGGTCATCCTGAACGTTCTTACAACTAAATTCTAGTTCGGCTAGCGTTGCGTGCGGAGATAAATTGTGACTTACCATGTGCCATATATATACAAACCACTTCAGTTGGTGGAGGTTCACAGTCTTATTGACCTAATTACCTCTCTTGACTAGTACCCTGCACCTGACCTCCACATTGCTCACACGGTGATTCCACAACATACAGACAATGCTTCAAGGGCATCTATGTTAGAAAACCTATGGTTTCTTCATTTCTTCCACTTTCAACTGCCATGTCTCACAGCCACTTAACAGGACAGAGCAAACTGCAATGCAGTATGCTCACCGTTTGATGGGTAGTTGGACAAGTTGCCGGCACCAGAGATAATGCAAGTGGACGAATACCAACTTGTCATTTTTATTGGAACTGAGATTTCCCCAGGCACCAGCTTGTTCGGGCTGATATGACTGATTAAGTGAGTAACTGGTCAACATTTCCTACCACTTCACTACTCATATTTAAACCGGGCATAACTGTACACCAGTCATAAAGCATCAACTTATATTTGACAGGTGCGAAACGCATGTCAAACATATAGACACCTGCTGAACAGATCCAGCATTTCGTCAGCGTCTTCACCTTCGAGGAAAAATATCACCCCCATCCTTTAAATTAACCCAGAAGCCTTCCAGGATTTAGATCAATCCCTAGGAAATCAGAGCTACCTAAGTATATGTGCACTAATCCATCCAATAATGAAGTTAAACAAAGGTTGTGACGGTTGGCATCCCTGGCGGACGTCAAATTTCGAGCTATACGTGATTACTTTGTGTAGATTCTCAAAAGCAAATGACTAACTGACAAAATTAACGTAGAACTCTGCACAGAAGTGCAGTACCTTAAGTTGCCACACCTCACAGTAGTACACAAAGAATAGGTAGATGGAAAAGGAATGATTTCAGATAAGATAAAGTAATATGAGAGGATAACAAACCTGAGGATAAATATAAGTGTGAATATTCAAGCTTCAGAAGACGTCAAAAAGGAATACATCTGCACCATTGTGATCAATTTTCAACCATATCACCAAGAGTCCTCAACCACTGATTCCCTTCGTCTCGCTGACCCACCCCAGCCATCCACTTACTCCACATCTACCCACATGCCTCGGACAAACAGTCAGAGACATTTTATCGACCGGTGTCACGTCTCAGTCTGGCCACTCTGAACCCTATTCAAAACTAATTCAGCTTCCCCCAACATGGCATATCGAGGTAGGCAGCAGCTCGCTTAGCATGTGCAGTACATGTCCAAGCCACCTCAGTCATAGTCTCATCAATCAACTTGACGGTCTTCTTTGCCTGGTACCCTTCGCCTGACTTCAACATAGACCACACAGTGACTCCACCAGATGCGAGTAATCCTACTGAGTCATCTGTGATCACAACCCTGTGTAATCACCTCATGTCTTCTTCGTTCAATGACAATGTCTTACAGCCGCAGGGAAGGAGAGAAGGGGCTGAAGAGCATTATACGCGTCCTTTGATAGATAGTCGGATATCTCACAGGTCTGTGCCACACATGACATAAGTGGACAAATGCTGAAAAGGCCTACTGTATTCCAGATGAGATCTCGTCAGCAACCAACCCCTTCAGACTGATACAGCTTACCAGGTAAGCGAAGTGGTCAACACATTTTACCACTCACTCCACACCCTGTCAATAAGTCGAGAGTACTTGCAGCAGATCAGCGCTGCAGCATAATCTTAAATTTGACAGGTGCGAAACGCATCCCAAACATACTCAGATTTCTGCCCAACGCCTTCAGAAGATTCTGCATTCAGTCAGCGTCTTCACCTTAGCAGGACAGTATCGTCTGCATACTCCAAGTCAACCAAATTTACCTCCAGGGAGTAGCTCAATCCATGTGAAGTCAGACCCACTTAAGGTTATGTATTAGTATGTCTATGATGAAGCTAAATACAAACGGTGACAGTGGACATTCCTATCTCATGGACATCGCTAATTCTCATCAATTCACATGACAACTCTCTTTTGGCAATTGCATCGCTGCGTGAGTTCGAGAATAGAGCTATGATTAGCGTTTTATACTTACTTGGTGCTCCCTTCAGAGTCAGACACTGTCACAACACCTCACAAACGATGGTCGAATACCGCCTTCAGGTCAACAATATATCAAGTGTCGGCCACTGCTAGGTACCTATACCTGCCTTCCAGAACCTATCCTGAGGGTAACAATATGATCAATGCACTCTCCTTCAGCTCAGTTTGAAACCTGACTGGTTTCATGGAGTTTGCTATTCCCGAGATCCAATTATGACTCGTCGGATAACTATAAACCCTAAAATCTTGGACACAACATGTTAACTAATTCACCTATGACTGTCGCAAGAAGATTTCTCTCTTTTATAAAAGACAGGGACTATCAGAGATGTACACTAATCTGACTGCACTAACTCTGATTTTTAACCACTACCAAGTATCTCCGTCACTCAAGTCATCAATCTCCTACCTACATCCTTGAAACCTTAAGGCGACAAACTGTCACATTCTGCTGCTTTCCATCGTCTCTGCTTCCATACACTCTTCTCAACTCTAAGGACAATTCGAGGATCGACATCTACATCTCAATCAGGTTCACGCTGGATGTTGACTAACTGAAGCGTTGCCAGGAGCCAGTTCAACTGTGCTTCAGAATCTTCTGCTCAGTGTTTTAACCACCTATTCTAGGAGGTCATCAGCTTCTCATCCTTTTCGGAAATGCTTTCACTCACCATAGACTCCTTTTTGCTGGTATCTTTAATAAGCCGAAATAAGAGCCGAGTGTTACTCAACGCTGACGTCTTCTCCATCTCTCCCAATCTTGTCTCCAACCACTTCTCACGATCCACGCGAATAATCCTCATCAAATTATGTTCCAGTTGCTTTCGCTCATCGTCGTGGTCACAGACTGCGAAAATCTGTCTTCTCGCATCAATCATTTTCCATGACCTCGCAGAAACCCAATGACGCTTGCTTACCAGCTGTCTTTACTGCTGTTTCTACAACAAACTTATTATCATCCCAGGTCTCCTCACCATCAGCATTGCTGTCATGTTCAAATAAACGCTTAGCTTACTCCTTTCTAAATCAATACTTGGCGTTCTCACCTACCGGTCGACCTTAGACACGCCTAACTATTGTCTGTTCTCTGCGACCAGTAAGGCACAGACATACACAAGCCTGTACCAACGCATCATCAGACTTCAAACATGTACCCATGGAAGAGTGATAATCCTCCACCTAACCTATCGAAGACTTATAGCAATACAATTTATCTGTGTCCATCGTCGGCAT